ATTGCAAAATTGCTTTGTAATTTTAAGTAATATGTACCGAATTACACCTAATAAAGTGGACCTGTTTTGAGTGCGGGGAAAAAAAAAAAAAAATTGTTGTTTTTAGACTATGTGTTTCTTAGATATTGGAGGCTGGCTTCTTGATTTCCAAAAATATTATCAAAAAAGGAAATTTTTAAGGAAACTGGGAATAAGTTGGTCTGAAAATATAATATTATATAGTTGTAGATGTTGTTTCTAATATTTCAATAAAGACAGTATTTAATCGACGAATCAGTGATCAGCATAGAAGTTCGTGAAACATGTGTAAATATTTTTTCGCTATTTCTATATTAAACATGCTTCATGATAAGAACCAGCGAAACGAATCTCGAAAAGGCGGTAAGGACAGACCGTCAATCTCCATTAGTGTCTATATTAAAGGACTTAGGAAGTCGAAATCTCCGCAATCTCCGGGATCGTCGCATGTCTGCCAACTTTGTAACTTGTATAATCTATATACTATAAATAGTTACTGATTCATTACAAAAATTTTTTTTTCATTTCTTACTTGCATTATCTATCTTTACTAGTCTAGATACACAAACGCACATAAACGCATCGTATAAACCAGATTCTTTACGCCATATACAATATAAAAGATACCAATGTCTTCGCACGATTCAACACCTTCCTCACCAGCTCTACTTTGACGGAGAAAGGTCAACTCGCACGATGGCAGACGTTGTGAAAAATTATAAGACGGAAGAACTTATCGATTATCTACAGAGGCGGGAAGATTTAGATCTTGTTGAGGCAGATTTCAAGATCCCACGTAATGAAAGAATTTCCGGCCGTGACTTTCTTAACACATCTAAAGAGGAGTTTCGCAGTTATGGATTAAAAGCTGGCCCAGTAAAAAGGCTTGCAGATTTTATCGATGAGATAACCGACCAAAAACTACGAAGCTTCTCATCACATAAAACTTTGGATGAACTAAAAGACGTGCTCCGCAAATATAAAGTCAACGGTGAGGATATTACGAGCATCAAACAATTCGGTCCTGGTATGTGGTATTACTTTATTTTTTTCTTAGCATTATTTGGGCGAACCAAGTTTTCGAGGAAATCGATGATGATGACAAGCCCTCGAGCAATGTATGAATGAAATTCTACTACGTTAACGAATGTAAAATCAACTATAGAGGCTAATGAGGCGACTCGATGTGAATTTATTTCATCAATATTACAAGCATCAATCGCTATCGCACGGAGGTTAACAGATAAATAAATCAATATAGAATTGCAGAGGGATATTTCGGGTGAAGAAGTGTCTGGTAGAGTTGATTACGCCATAACAGGGATGGAGGATCTTTTGTGTATAACTGAGGGTAAACCACGAAAATGGTAAGATTTGTTATCTCCAAAACATAAAACAACTAGAGAGTTCCTTCCACATGAACAAGAAGAAACGAACTGCGGATGAAGCATTTAATGCGGAGGATTACGACTATCTATATGGGATTGTGTCAACAAGTAATATGACTATCTAATTATCGGATTTATTTTAGGTGCGGATTGGCATTTTATCATGTTCACTTCCGAAGGGATTTTTTGTACAAGCAATAGTGAATATCGGATAAATCTTACGAAAAAGGCGCTTAAGAGCAATCAGGAAAATCTGAGGGAAGATATAAAACGGGTAATCAGTATAGTCGTAGGTTTATTAAAAGATAGGGTGTTAGCGTGTGATGAACCTGAAAATAAGAAGCGAAGCGTACAAGAAAAAATTACTAAGAAACAGTGGGTAGGTAGCACCCGCTTCACATGCATTCTTTTATATTGTATCAATAAAGCAATCAGGTCTAAATGGTCTTTTTACGATAATTAATTTTTGTATGGTGATAATTTTTTTAATTCACTTTTGAACTTATCTATATTTTATTTAAAAAATGGCAACACAGTCTAAGATTGATTCTTTGAAAGAACTAAATTCGAATCTCTTAGTCGAGATTACTAATCTTAGAAAGGAGAACGCCGAAATTCCTGAACTTAGAAAGAAATATTCTGAGATCGAGGCCGAAAATGTGAAGTTAAGACAGTTCATAGAAGAGAGCATTGAGCTTAAAACCAGGTTTGAAGAGTTGGAGAGAAAAAATAAAACGAATACTGCCAAGCTCACTGCCGAGAATACTGAGCTTAAAGATAGAGTGAGTCACGAAATTGGAACAGAGGCAGACCCAGGTCATTACTAATGAACCGAGAGCATCTTCTACAAAAGATATTTCGCAACCTATCAGTGAGGATGCTAGTTTACACTATGCTATCGCATCTGAAGAAACCATTATTCCTGACCCCTCACCCGAAATAGAACATAGCCGGACAAAATCCGAAGAATTGGAGATTCAATGCTCTGCATCACCCTCTGCAACCTCTTTACTGGAAGATGATACATCTAAACAAATGCCAGAAGATGCATCTGATATATATGATATCACTTCAAATACCGGCGTATGTCAGAAGTCGAAGACCTGTAAATCATTGGAAGACAAGATGATGGATGAAACCTTGGATGAGGAACATAAGAAAAGAGTTGGCGATTCGATCAGGCAAAGAAAGCGTGAGGAGAAGTTTCAGTATGGATCTTCCCATGAGCGGAAAAACGAACAGGGCTTGATTCGAGAAATGATTTCATCCAAGGAAGAAAAGCATGTGACTGAAATTTCAGCGAACTTGGTTCGC